TGTCATCTCCTCTACATTAATTTTTGGTGTAATTTTGTTTATAGTTTATTATCATTTTGCTCTCTGTGGACTATTAAGTGATAATTACTTTTTCATTCTCGTGATTTCTTTTATCTTGACCTGTTTAGCTAGAGGTTCATAAATTTTATCTGTCTAAAGTCCCCTCATATAAAACATTTCTGAAATAGTGAGAGACCCCTTTGCTCCTTTCCTTTATGAGGAATTTGCTGTCTTCTTCCCAACCATTTCTTAAGAATTCATTTTGTACATCTATTGTTCACTGTGAACATTGTTCAACTCATGAACAATATTTAGGATTGTTCACGGAGTTTTTATGTAGGTGGTAGTGTGCTGTATTTCTTGTTCTGCCACTTTTTTCCCTTTCAATATAATATTTTGAGATCTACCTGTATTGATACATACACAGCTATTTCATTCATTTGAACTGAGGACATTCTTTGATCATATGGATGTACCCCCAATGTATTTGCCATTTCTGCCATGGATAGACAATTGGGCTGCCTCTAATTGTTTGCTCTGATGACAATGCTGTGGTTATGTCCAGTGTCCACCTTTATAGCCATTTACTTAGACATATAGTGCTCTGGGACCGATGGTGTAGTGGTTACATTGCTCCACTCCCATATCGTTGACCGCAGTTCAACTCCTGGCCCTGGTGGCTTCAGACTCACTCCAGGTGCATGTGCGTGCATGCCCAAAATCCTGAGAGGAGAATGGAGGAGAAGGGGATTGCAGCATGGCCATCAGTCAGGGGGTGATTCCTTAAGTTCTGTCTCTCTGGCAAGCACATGCACCCTATAGCAAAAAAAAAAAAAAAAAAAAAAACTCTAAAACAAAAGAAGTACAGTGTTGTGCCTTCACTGGCCTCCGCATTGCTCTCCAGAGCAATTGCACTCATCTGCCTCCCTGCAGCATGACGCGAGAGTGGCTGGTCCTCAGAGTAGGACAGTGGCTGTCGGGTGGCCATGTTCCAAGTGACTCTTGTTTTCCTCTTTTGCACTGTCATTGAAACTTTTTCTCTGAGCAGCTATCATTCCAGTAACAAAAAAGTAAAGCTTTTTGTTATCTAACCAAGAGCAGAGCTGCCCTTCCTCTATGCCCCCCACCATCTCAGGGAGGGATGTCCCCTTAATAGCCCACCTGTCGCAGCCTGAGGAACTGGGGTCCATGGCTCTCCTCCTTCCCACGCTGCACCTCCCTATGCCCTGCTCGTTCTGCTTTAGCCCTTAGAAACCCTTGTGTGCCCTTGAAGTTATTTATGCCTTCCTTGAGAAAGGCACAGCGAGGGGGCCCCAAGGTCCTGATGCTGCACTCCACCCCAGCCTCAGCCTGTCCTGGACTACTTTGGAGCCCAGCACACCCAGGGCACTCCCAATGGGACGCAGCACGTGCCCACAGAGTGTCATGCTCTGCTGAGCCACCGTCCAGCCATACATGATCTTGTGGTCTCCCGGCTGTTCACCGAGTCCTTGAGGGTGGGAACTGCATCTCGTCCCTGGAGTGTGAGTCTTGCAACACCTGGCACAGAGCAGGTGCCTAGAAGCACTTGGGGCATTGCAAAGCAGGCTCTTCCTCCCCCTTTACGCAAATGAGGAAAAGCTGTTAGACCGACCTCGGCCATGCCGTGTGGAACAGAAACCCAAGGTGAGCCTAGGACTCTGAATCCCATTGCCAGGCTAACAGACTTGCATGGGGAGAAGTCCACACAGCTATGGAGCAGGGCTCCTACCAGAACCGGGGTGGCCGGGCTTCGTCCTCCGATGGCAGCAGCCGGGTGGACCTGCAGACCGTTCTGTCTGAACGGGATGCAATAATTCGTGTGGGTGTCGGCTGCAGTCTGGGCAGCTGGCCTAATCTCTGGAGTCACTTAAAATCTCGGTCGTTTCTGTGGAGGTGGGTGTTTGGACAATTGGTCCAGTGTGTCCTGTCAGTAGACGCCCGGCGCCCTCAGCCCAGCACCGTTACATTGTTTGAAGCAGAAGCGCGCCGTGTGCTCCTGGCATTTTCACTGTCACCGCTTTCCTCCACGTGGAAACATCTGGGACTCTGCGCTTTGATATGAGAGGAGGGCGACAAGGCTATAGTGCTAATCTGGCATCCCACGATTTTGGTTTTTTTTTTTTTTTTGAGATTTTTGCTATAGGGCGTGTGTGCTCGTCGATAGAGAGAGACAGAGAGATAGAAAGCGAGAAATCATCCCCCGGGGGGATGGCCAAGCCGCAATCCCTCCTCCTCCATTCTCCTCTTGGGATCTTGGGCATACACGCACCCGCGCCCAGCGTGAGTTTTAAGCCACCGGGTCTGGGACGCGAACCGCGGTCGACTACATGGGAGTCTAGCGACATAGCCATTACGCTAACTGCTGGTCCCCGATTTTGGTTTCTAAGAGGGAACCTGTTAGCAGAGACGTCGCAGGAGCGCACCTCAGGCTTCCTCGCGGTCAGAGCGCTTGCCACACATGGTCCCAGCTGCTGGCGGTAGAGTCTCCACATAATGCCTGAGGTCGGATTTACCATCATTGTTCATTCTGGGGCTCACAGTTCTGTGCTCTTAAGGGAGCCATCATTTTTATTTCAGAGACCAGCAAAGGTCTGCGAGGGAGAACGGCCCCTGGAAGGCCCCAACCCTACTCCCAACTCAGAGGTCTAGACTGCTCCAGTACAAGCAGGAAGCGCCACAATGTTGAACTGCAGGGCCCTCTGCGTCTACGTTGGGCCGGTCGCTTGTCACCATCAGCCCTGTGTTCAGACAGAGCACAGGGGTGCAGGGAGGCTGACCGCGTGGTCACAGCGGTGGTGCAGGGACTCGCTCAGGCCTGACGGTTTTTTTTTTATTGGAGAGATTTTCACTGTAGGGCGCGTGCGCTCGCCAGACAGACAGAGAGAGACATAGAGACAGAAAGCGAGAAATCACCCCCCAGGGGGGATGGTCACGCCGCAATCCCTTCTCCTCCATTCTCCTCTCAGGATCTTGGGCACGCACGCACATGCGCCTGGTGTGAGTTTTAAGCCACTGGGTCTGGGATGTGAACCGCGGTCGACTACGCGGGAGTCCAGCGACATAGCCATTATGCTAACTGCTGGTTCCCAGGCCTGACGGTTTTTGAGCAGGCGTTCTCAGAGCCAGAAGGGAATACATGGTAAAACCCCATTGTGCAGAAGCAGGGACCGAGGCCTGGATCTCTCCCTAGTCCCCACAGCACCACAAAGGTGGAGGAGCCCCAGGCTGCCTGGGCTTGAACCCCAGAGCCACCACGGGGAGCCGTGTACCCTGAACACATTCTCCTATATCTCGGAGACCCTGTTTGTAGACTGGGGTTAGCACATGGACACACACACCCACGGCAGCCCCAGGGGACAAACTGCATCAGGCTGGACCCACACTCCTGGCGCCGTCCTCTCCAACCCTTGGGGGGTGCTGGAGTGTCTGGGAGATGGCCAAGCATGGTCAGCCGAGGCATCCTCAGGGCCACATTCTGCAGGGTCAGCGGCCGGCGGGCTACTCTGGGTAACTCTGGGCGGCCAGCGGGCAGAAGACCCTGGCTGTAGATGGAAGGCAGGACTCCAGCCAGTGCTAAGGGGGCCTCCCCCAAGTCTGGGGGTTTGGAGCCGGGGTACTCTCAATTGGTCCTGAGCTTCGGCAGGGCAGAGGGATCTAATTCATGAGGGGCTCTCGAGCCCCAAATAAGAACACCTCCCAGTCGGGAGTCCCAAGGCAAATGGGATGACATTAAGGCCATGTGCACCGGCAGGGGGGATAGGCGGGGCGGCCGTCATCTCTCCAGCCCGCGGCTTCTGCCCTGAGGATGGGCCTGGGCCCGGCCTGGGCCCATCTCTCCAGCCCACGGCCTCTGCCCTGAGGATGGGCCTGGGCAGCCTCAGCTCTCCAGCCCATGGCCTCTGCCCTGAGGACGCCCCGCCTCCGTCCCAGCAGGAAGCAGGGCGGTTTGGCGAGCAGCCCCCTTCAGAGCTGGGCAAACAGCCCGGTGTCCTCGCGACTCAGGCCCACCGCCTCTGCTCCAGCAGCAGCTTCAGGGAACTTCAGGGGCCCACACGTATCCAGTAACCAAGTGGCCAGGCCTCCAGATGTTGGAGGATGGTTCAAGAGAAAGGAACCAACTCTTGCCCACAGATCCCAAGTGCTCTGGAGCAAGGTCCTGCCACTTACTGACAGCCATGGGGCATAGCTCAGTGCCACACGGCCCTCCCCGCCAGACTCAGACACCAGCAGGGCAGAAAACACAGGCCAACGGGTGGGCTGGGATGGACACCGTGAGGATGAGTGAAGAGGGAGGACTTGAGCAAGGGCTGCACTCTCTAAGTTCCAGAGCAGAGCCCGGGTGTGGACATGGCCTGGTGCAGCAGGTGACCCCGTGACCCCAAGGGGCACCAGGGTCATGTGCAGCTGAGGTCAACATCATGACCCGGTCATGGGAGAGCTGGCAGCAGGGCCCCTGCCGTGGACATTGTCCTTTGGTCTCAGGGCCCCATCCTCCTTACGGCAAGAGCCTGGAGAGATGGCAGCCCATGGCATGAAGCCAACCTTCCATAGAAGGCAGATTGAGTGTTATTAGCTGGGGAGTCCCCCCAACCACTGCCAGTCTGAGTGAGGCCACATGATTCAGGCTCAGCCAATCAGTGCAGTCCTTGGCTGCAGTGATTGGTGTAGAGTGGACATGTGACTTGAGCTTGTCCAATCAGGGGAACCTGGCGACTTTGCTAGGAATGTGGAATGAAGACAGCCCATCCTTCTCCACTGTATCTGGTGGAAGGCACCGCCAGTAACTGCAGTGCCTTCCCTTGCCCTGGGCTGTCGTGAGATTTGCTTTGGCAGTGGGTCACACAGATACACGATGCTGGCAAAGCTTGGAAACTGCTAGTGTTAGCTCTGTACATGCACCCCCGCCTACACAGAGAAGGTGAGAAGGTGCCCCATTCAGTCTGCTGGCAGGATACAAGCCAGACCAGCCCAGAGAGGTGAGCAAGCTCTGCAAAGGACCAAAAGACTGCCCAAATGACTCCTGGCCATATGAATAGCCGTTGTTTTGAGTGATGGGTTTGGAGTTTGTTACACAGCACTGCAACAGCTGCTGGTGACTGATACAAGGCCCCAGCCAGGAAATTCCCACTTCCAACTAAGTAGAGCTGGACTCTGATTCAAATGAATCAACTGAACAGTCATCAACATTGCATCCTGGTCCACAGCTCAGAAGCCATGGAGAAGGCCCAGAATCAGAAGCAATGAATTTCTTCTGGAAGGCTCTGCGTTCATTTAACTCCTGGTAATGCTCACACAGGGCAAGTTTACAAAACAGCAGCGTACAGACGGACAGACTTCTGGGGTGTTTCTAACACTAGAGGTGTCTTCTGGCGGCTGGCAGGGGGCAAGGAGGCGGGACGGACGAGCTTAGGCCTGCAGCACATCCGCCCCGATGTGCCCTCCGGAGAAGGAGCCGCTCTGCTCACCCGCAGCCATGGTGCCAGGGGCCTGCTGTCCAGGGGCCTCCTGGGCGCTGAAGACCCTCTCGTAGTACTCGATCAGCAGTTCAGTGAAGAGGTTCAGGGGCACGAGGGCACTGAGGGAGGCCACCCCCTGGGACGGCCAGATTAAATTCAGCCCGAAGACACAGGCCAGGTTGGAGCTGTTCATTTTGTTAAAAAGGCTCTCCCGGGACACCTGGAAGAGAGCACACGTGAGGCTGGGGAGGAGTGCAAGGAGCAGCAGCCTGGGCTGCCCTGCACCTGGGAGCTGTGGCCTGGGAGCTGCAGCCCGTGCTGTCACCTGGTGGGATGGCCTCCCTGTTCAGCCTGCTCCCCATCAGTAAAAGGAGGGACTGTACATGATGCCCAGGGTGACCTTCCCATGGGGACTTCCTCTGACCTGCCTCTGAGCCCTCCCCAGGACCCCACCGGCTCCTCCTTGGCTCCCGCTGTCTCAGGAGGGCCACCATGGGTGGGCACTGGTACAGCGGGAACACGCTGGGTGAACGCTGACCTCCCGCCATGGTCAGAGACCAGCCTGTACTGTGCAGAGGGGTGATGGGACAGAGCAAAGAGCTTGCCCGAGGGGCTCCCACCCGTCTCAGCCACACCGACAGCAACCCCAGGAAGAGGGTTCTCACTCTCACTGCACAGAGGAGGACACGAGGCCCGAAGGGGACCTGCCCACAGCCGTGTGGCCACTCAACCGCAGGGGGCCCACACAGGCCCATCCCAGGGCAGGGCCTGTTTCATCCTGCCTCCCCACAAGACCCGTGCTGGGGCACCTGGAGCATCAGAAGCAGGGACCGCGCAGAGCTGCCAGGGGGGGCAACAGGGACTCGGGGCGGGGCCTGGGTGTGCTCTGCTTCACCTGCAAGGATGACGGGACGTACCCGCACCCCGCCCCAGTGACACAGCGCTGCCCTCCCGCTTCCCCACCTACCACCTCACAGGTCTTCTTGGGTGGCACAGCCATGTGGGCCATGGGCTACCCTTCCCTGAACAGCCCCAGACCCTGAGTGCAGCCGGGGAACATGTGAGCCCCATCGGTGCCCACGGGCGAGGTCAGAGAAAGAAGTCAGTCTTCCGCCCGTGAGTGAAAAGCTGGCCAACAGAGGGCTGGGAGAGCACGGCTGGGGGATGTCGCAAGTGGCAAAGGGAACTGTGTGGTGTTTAAATGACCTGGTCACTTGTGTCAGACCCTGGGACAGTGGGCCCAGCAGTGGCCCCTCAAAAGCTACGTCCACACAAACTGCAAATGTGAGCATCCTGGATTACCTGGTGGGCTTGAAGCCCACAAGTGTCCTCGTGAGGGGAAGGTCAGTGACAGACCCCTGGGAGCAAGCTGCGTGCAGATGGAGGAGACGCCGAGCAGTACGGCCACCAGGAGCCACCAGGAGCTACCTGGGGCTGAAGAGGTGGATGCTCCGGACACAGCCCTGCACCACTTGGGTCTCGGACTCCTGGCCCGCAGATGGCGAGCTGCCGGGACCGCGTGTCAGCCCGAGTGCTGCTGTGTGGCCCCAGGGCCGAGCAGCCCGCAGGGCTTCCTCCATCTGCTCGGTCCACGGCGAGGGCCTACCATGTGCCCCTGGGCTTGGAGCACTTCCCCCACTTCCCAGAGACTCTGCCCAAGCAGGACAAGAGGTGGGGACAGAGGAACTGCATGAGAGAGGTCCTGGCAGTCACCAAGGAGCAGCAGGGTACAGGGAGGCACCGCACAGCTGAGACACCCGGCAGGTAGGGAGGCCTTCTTGCAGGAGCTGCCTGACCAGGCCATGGTGCAAGAACTCTGCTAGCCAGGGAGTGGCGCTCTGAGGCTGAGGGTGGCTGTGACTCCAGACATAGTGCAAAGGGGCGGGCATGTATGGGCACCGATGCGGAGGGACCCCGGGTGGCTGGCACCCACTCACCGTGTGCAGGAAGTCCATGAGGTAGCGCAGGACGGCGTAGTTGTGCTCTGGAAGGCTCTGCAGGATCTGGCGACAGTGGGTCACACGCAGGCTGCTCTCCACACCTGCAAGGGATGAGTGGGTGCAGGCAGGCCCGTGGGCAGCACTGCGCCTCCCCCAGGAGGGCACTGGCGTGGGCACAGCCTCATACTTCCCACATGGCCGTCCTTGGCAAACCCTCTCCCCTGCAAGCTGGTCCCTCTTCATACACGGAGCATGGCAACTGCTACCTCCCGGGAAGCCCAGGAAGCCGATCACTTGGTGAACAGAAAAATCTAAGCTGGAGGGACCAGCAGTCAGCATAATGGCTATGTCGCTGAACTCCTATATAGTCGGCCATGGTTCGAGTCCTGGATCTGGTGACTTAAACTCACTACGGGTGCACATACGTGCATGCCCAAGATCCTGAGAGGAAAAGGGATTGCAGAGTGGCCATCTCCCCAGAGGGTTGTTTTCTTGCTTTCTGTCTCACTGTCTCTCTGTCTCTCTCTGTCTTTCTGGTGAGTGCACACACCCTATAGCAAAAACCTCTCCAAAAATAAAAAGAAAAGAAAAGAAAGAAAAAAAAAATCTAAGCTGTGGTCAGCCAATGATTGCCCACTGGCCAAATCTGGCCAGTCGCCTGTCGCTGTCAATAAATTTAACTGGAACACAGCCATTCCTTAGCACAGGGGTGGGGGCAGCCATGATGCCGTGAAGGCAGACTGAGGAGACTGCAACATGGAGACTGCTCTGAGCCGGAGATGTTCACCCTTGGCCTCTGCAAGAGGGCCGTCATCCTGCTCTGGACTGGCCACCTGGCCTGACTCTCAGACCACGCTTTCCGCATGCCGATCTTTGGGAAGGCAGTGCCCCAGCACCCCGGTCTGGCTGGAACTGTCCCGCATGCAGTGAGACCCCCACGGCGTCTTTCACAACCACATCAGCCCTGAGCTCATGACCCTAAATCAAAACCCACCTGTCAGGGCCGGCCTGTGGCCTGGTGGCTAAGGGAGCTGGATCCCACATAGCTGACCACGTGGCTTGGATCCTGGCCCTGGCAGCTTGAAAACATGCTGGGCGTGTGCGTGTGCACCCCGGATTTTAGTGGAGTGGAGAAATGAGAAGGGACTACAACATGGCCACACCCCACTGGGTGTAATAACCCTTTCTCTGGCAAGCACACAGGCCCTCCCGCGTATGAAAACAAAACAATCGGGGCCAGTAGGTGGCATGGAGGTTAAGGCGCTGGGTCCTACGCGAATGTGCGGTTTGAGCCCCGGATCTGGCGGCTTGAAAACCATGCGGGGCATGTATGCATGTGTGCCCAAAACCCAAGAGGGAAATGGAGAAGGGACTGTGGCGAGAGCATTCCCCCCGGGGGTGCTTTCTCACTTTCTCTGTCTCATCTCGGTCTCTCCTTCAAGTGCACACACCATATAGCAAACTAAAATAAAAGGCAGCAAGGCCGAGGTGTGTGTGTGCGGGGGGAGTGGGGGCTTTCCTGCAAAGGGAAGGGAACTCAAAGATGGCCGCTGGGTGTGCAGAAGATGGACAGGAGGTGCCGGCAGAGGCCACTTCTATATTATTTTCTGAATGTCAGATATGTGGGTTACTTCCATCATAATTTTAAACATTCTCAATGTACGGGGTCAGCAGGTGCATAGTGGCTAAGGCACTGGACTCCCACATGGCTGACCGCGGTTTGATTCTCAGACCTGGTGGCTTGAAAATCACACTGGGCACTGTGTGTGTGCCCCAAATCCCAGGCAGAGACTGGAGGAGAAGGGATTGAGGCATGGCCACCCCCCGGGGGTCCTTTCTCACTCCCCCCCTCACCATCTCTCTCTCTCTCTGGTGAATGGATGTGTCCTGTGGCAAAAGCCTAAAACATAAATAAATAAAACTCAGCGTCTGCCCCACCCCGCCCCATTTTCTGGGACCAAACAACCAGAATCGAGCTCCCTCTTGGGCGAGGCAGACTTTTCATCGCTGAGCCTTCACGTCGATTGCTTCCCATGGAAGCACTAAGGCTCCTCGTGGCCCGGCCAGCGGAGCCTCTCCCAGGCAGCCCTTGGTGTCGTTCATGACATCCACACCGTGGGACGGACACCCTCACACTTGGGCAGGGTCGGCTCAGCAGGTGCAGGAGTGGCCGCCCAGCGAGTGCGTGTCCGTCTCCCTTGGCAGGGAGCTGGGCCCTGTGCCATCAAAACCAGGCCCCAGCCGCCTTCTCTCCCCAGAGGGAGGCCGGCGCCATGCGGCTCCAAGTCCCAATCCCCTGATCACGAAGCTGGTCTTCCTGGCATGGCCAGTGCCCGTCCCCATCACCCACACCACCAGCTGCCAGAAGCCACCAGGACCCATGAGCGACAAAGATACTCTGTCCCTCGGAAAACTCTAAGGTTTAGAGGTCACCTCCCAGAGACCAGAACAAAGGCTGGGCTGCTCCGTGGGGCGAGGTGACTTTTGACCCCACTGCAGGGAAGAAACGCTGACCTCCAGATTCAGGATGGTCTTTAGACGACCGTCAGCAGCCTTAGCACTGCCCCCTCTGGATCACAGGGCTCCTGGCCCCGGGGGCTGTCCCCATGAAAGCAGCAGCGTCTGATTACGGAAACAAGGACCGAGTGGCTTTATGGTCCTTTGGAGGTGACACCTTCCTTACCCTGCCTGGTATTTTGGGGAGGCTGTTCTGGAGTTGCTTAGGAGTGACCGTGCTGTGCCGCACACTGATGGACCCCGGCTCCACGCGACCATGCGCTCTGTCTGCACTACCCTACTGTCCCCCTGTGCTGGGAGAAAGGCTGGGAGGGCCCCTTCTAGTTGGGAGCTGGGGACGCCTGCCTAGAGCTCAGAAGGGGTGAGGCAGGACTCGGACTGTGAGGACGTGCCCCAAGTCCCCATCTCCTACCCTGCAGCATCAGGTGGCAATGGGAGGAGGCCCACAGATGCAGTCTTGGCCACCCGAGCCAGTGGGGGTGTGGCCCTGCGCACCCAGGCCCCGGGGCAGGTACGCACTGGTGAGTTCGAGGATTTGCTCGTAGGCTGTGAAGGTCAGCAGCGGCTGGGGCAGCTCCCGCAGGAAGGTCTTCAGGGTCACGGCCGGGACGTGGATGTCCCCGTAGTCGTCGAAGTTCACGGGCTTCCCTGCACACACAGCAGTGCCCTGAGCCACGGACCCTGGGCCGTGGTTAGTCGCTACATGACGGGCTCAGAGGCCAAAGGGCTTGAGAGCTGCCGTAGGAGGGGCCTGTGCTGCACCGCACGGCCGGGATGACCGTCCCCACCTGGGTGCCCTGCCCTGCCCTGCCCTGCTCTGCCCTGCCCTGCTCTGCCAGCTCCCACACCCCACTCCTCCAGGAGTATCTGGCATCTGCCGCATGGCTTGGC